AATATACTTAGTCTAAACATTTATGTTTTTGTGTTAAAATTTGTCATTTTAGAACGAAAGAGGCATAATTTATATTTATTTCATAATTTTTTATGGTTACAAGATCGGTCAAATCTACTGAACCTGTTAGTAAAAATAACAGATAAAATATAATGTTTTTTCTTAAGAAATGTTTGATAACTATCTGGACATTATAAAGATTTTGCATGTGAAATTTAAAAATTTTCTGATGCATAAAAGTATTTTTAATCTTAAAATGAAAATTGCATGTTGGATAGTCAACATACAAAAAGAAAAAAAAAGGCATGAGAAAAACATTGCTTAACAAAGCTTAAAGCTTAATAAAAAATTTGATATTTTGTGTATGAAAGCATTGTAATGTTTACTGATAATCTGCCACGTTTCATTAACATACTATAAAAAGCACAGAATGATTGAGATTGGTACCAGGGACTGAACCTGTGCTGAAAGAATTAATACCAATATAGAACAATTAGTTGTGTATGTTAAACAAGAAATATCTTCATTAGAATAAGGTGAACTAGTTCTGAAACAAAAAAAAAATTGTTTGATCGACTTAGCAAAGTAGATTAGAAAATTCTTTGGTATCAGATTGTAGTTTAATAGAGCTTGTACTTTTTTTATAGAAATCCAAGAAGTTGATATCATTAGTGAAAAGTTGTCCCCAGATGCATCTGTCAATGGTAAACTTGATTTTTTTTAAACTATTCTGTTACCATTGTTTGTTTGACTTTCATTAGTGTGCTATCTCCCAGTGATAGCACAAATAGTAGTAATCTTATTGCTGTGGCTGGGACAGAGTGTGCAAGTCACGACCATTTACAAATTTATATTCATAATATAATTAAACAAGTTTATTACCAATGAATGTCATTAAAGTTGGCATAAATACATAGTTTATAATCCAAATTTTTATCTTTTCTAAGCTTCACTTTCTTAACTTCAAAAAGAAATATTAAAAAAATTCTTAATCTTCATTTTTCTGTCACATGATCCCTCTGAGCTCCAAATTCTTCACATAAGAATTTTCTGACTTCTAAAACAGACTGGTGTAGTTCCAATAAAATAGAAACACAAACTATACATAATCATAAGCAAAGATCTAAAATTTGAACCTCCTTCCTACTTTATTTGTTAAAATATCAATACATTTGTCAAACTTCCCTTCCCCTTATCTCTACTTTGGAGATTGTTTCACTAATCAACGTTACATAGCTGCTGATGGACATGTTTATAGCAATAGAAAGAATAGATCCTCTTTTATCTAAAGCTCATTGCAGCTAATTGATTTTGATGGCCAGATTATAACTGTCTGACATAGTTTCTTCAAGCATGAATTTTATAAACCTTACTGAACACCTAACTGAATTTTTAACCTAGTTCTAGCTTACTTTTGAGATATTCTGTTTTGGTTACTGATTTTTTGTTGTCCTAAAATGCATATTTAAAAGCTACATGAATTATTAATTGGAGATCCAAATGTGTCGTATTCATTGAGGCTTACAGGCAGTTGCAGAGCAATTGCAAAGATCACATGGTGTTTACATGAAGTCTACAGGAAACAGTTATCAAGTTCTCTTGGTAACTTCTTGTTTTTGACAGAGTCCTGTGGTCAAGAGTATAAAAAACCATAAAATTAAAAATAAACAGATGTGAAAGGTTAAGAGTTGAAATTGTAAAGATTTGAATGCCAAATTAAACATTCAGAGAAGAGAAACCTGTATTATTCATCTTGTTTCATATTTTTCAACTTTTCATTTCAATATACATTGATTATTTTGTTTCAGTTATTCTTAGGATAGAGAAAATAAGAATTGAAATCATAAGTTTTACCAAAAAAAACTGTAATATTCATTTAGGAGGTTATAGAAGTTATGCAATAAAATTTGAAAACTGTTAGACGAAACTAAGTATATTTTGTTCTTATCATGAAAATCACTTTTCTCAGAACAAATCTTGAATAAAAAATACTTTATTAAAAAATGACTTTTTGTATAATGTTTACTATAACCTTGCTAAATTTCATGAAGATAAATTTGGTACATTCAGAGTTATATTTCCAAGGTGGATTAAATCAACAAACTTCATACTGGAAGTGTTAAAAGTAACAGTGGTAGTGCTGAATTTTATTGATTTAGTCTTAGCTTCAAGTTCACCATTGTAAGACTCTTGTGAGTCCTCAGTTGCTGTTCTTCCTCAGCTCAACTGTCACAAAGTTTACTAATAGCAGTAGCATTATTAAAATTATGAATTTTCATGTTTCCTGGCAACATGCACTAACTATTGGGCAGGATTTTTCTACCATCTACAGACTGAAAATAAATGTTAAAATCTGTTACAAAAGTAAAAATTTCATTTTGAGAATGTGGTCTATAAGAGCAATTTTTCAACTAGAAGTTTAGATGTTCGAGTGAAGAAGAATGTGTATGCTTTACCAATGTGTATATGAGTTGTCTCATATATACTCATATGTTGTCTACTCATATAAAAAGAAAAAAACATGTTTGTGAGAGTCTATCAAATGTTGCGTGACTTTTTTTGACTAAGGTAATAACTTTGTGATAATTACTTGAACTAGAGTGGAAGAAGAGCTGACACTGAGACAGAATAAAAAGTATGAGCTCATATGTATGGTATAAAATCCTTTTGGTAATATGTATATACACAAGTATTCTTATCACTTTTGAAATAGGATACTTTTATTTCATATAGAATTTTATGTTATTTGATGTTGTTATTACATCAGCTCTTATGTTCCAGGCACATTGATGAATACTTCTGGAGAAGTGGGGAAGATAAAAAGTAAGAACTGTTTAATACATTCATTACACTATCAGGGCATGAAATTAGCATTTATTTTTTAAGTGCCAAAAGAAATTTTGAGGTGCTTAAAAAAATTCTCCCTCCCTCCAAAATAAAAAATATATTTATCTCTGGTTTTGTTGGGTTTTTTCCCCAAAAATGCACGTCATAATCATGACCAATTTCAAATTTACTACAATTACCACTATCTAGATCTTAGTAAGCTACCTTAGATACATAGATCTAGATGTGTATGTAAGCAGTAGTGAGTGTAAATATTAAACTGACACTATATATGAACACATGATTTATTTTATATGTGGACCTAAATCTAGTACTTGTATGACATAAGTCCACAGATCATACACAAACAGAAATTGTGCTTCTGCTATAGCAATGATACTAAATGTAATCCATTATACATCTTGTATCTCCAACTTTCAAACTGAAATGAGTATTGCTGATAACTAATAATTAGACATTCTGATTGGCTTTAGGTATTATTAAGTATGGTAGTACTTAATATTAGGAATCAGCAAGGATTCCAAATAATTCACATGCCAAAAAATCACCCTATTGAATTCCTAAGTGTAAAACCAACCATTCAAAGTATTGGTTACAATATATTATGTGCATGCATACTAATAATATACTAAAAAGGTCGCTAACATTTCCAGTATAACAATTCAAAAATTTCCAAAACAGGAACTTTTTCTTCTACCTACATACCTACCTGATAAAGTCAGTGGGGCTAGCCCCTAGACAGTTTGGACTATTGTGACAGATTTCTCTGGCTTACTTGATTGGTCTGTGGGTATCTGCTTTTGATATTCTGATACCATTTATAAATGGTATTCATATCATGCACGTATTTAAATACGAGGCCTGTGAGAAAAGTATCCGACCTTATTTTTTTTTGCGATAACCTGATGGATTTGAATCAAGCGCACTTGCATGAGCCGACCTTGAACCTTTGTGCGCATGCATAAATTTTTTCCCCCTTGTTGATTGCGTCAGTTGTTGGCAAGCAGCCATTGAATGAGGTAGTGTGTAGTGCTCTCGTCGGTTTTTCATTGCAAGGAAAATGACGGAACGACTGGAGCAGTGCTACTGCATCAAATTTTGCCAGAAACTGGGCGACAGCCAGGTGGAAACCATTCGGAAGATTCAGACGGCTTTCGGTGACGATGCTATGGGCATCACACAGATTATGGAGTGGTACAACCGGTTTAAAGACGGCCGCACAACGGTGGAGAGCGAGCCACGCTTCGGTCGGCCATCAACATGCCGAAATGACCAGGTCATTGCCAATGTGAACGCTATGGTGATGTGGGACCGTCGTGTGACTATCCGAGAAATTGCGGAAGAGGTGGGCATCAGCACTTTTTCAGCACATTCCATTATGACCGAAGATTTGGCTATGAAGAGAGTGGCGGCGAAATTCGTGCCGAAGCTGCTTACGGCGGAGCAAAAGGAACTTCGTGTTGAAGTCTCACAGGACATGCTGGACTCCACAAACAGTGACCCCGACTTCATGAACACCATAATAGCTGGTGACGAGTCTTGGGTGTACG